GAGGTGTGGTTGGAACTTTGGTCACTCTGGGTAAATGAAAGGGAGGGTGTGCTCGGCTAATATGCCATTTGGGGGCCAGGAAGCCAAATCTGTGGGGAGAAGCAGGAAGGGTCCTGCTGGAGCCCTGGCAGAGGGCACAGAGAGGCCTCCCAGGTATCCAGGGCCACCTCAGAGATGAGCTCCAGAAGTAGGGGTTCTGGAAATATCCCCAGGGAGGTATTTCTGTCCATCAGAATGCAGCCATAATTTAATTAACAGCAGACATTCCCATTTATGTGTGTCAGGCATCTTGCTAAGGGCTTTGCACACAATATCCCTGTTAATCCTCACAACAGGAAGGCACCATGATCTCTTGTTAAAGATGGGGAAACAGCCTCAGAGTGTCCACGTATTTTGCAAGGATACACAGCTAGCAAGTTGCAGAAGTAGGATTTGAACCCAGATTTATCTGACTTCAAAGCCAAGAGGAATTTACCGGTGGGGTGAGACAGGCTGTGTCCTCAAAAGGATTCTGGTAGCCCCAAGAATACAGTGTTGGGGGCCAGAATGTCCACAAAACCAAAAGGTCCCACCTGGGTATGTCCTCTCAGTCACCTGCAAGGTTTGTTAAAAAGAAAGATGCCCAAGTCTCACCCAAAGCTGACTGAATTAGCCAGGAGCACCTGGAGGACCCAGACTGTGTCTTCTCATCTCTGTCCCCAGTGGCCTGCACAGGGACTGGCAGAGGCACTTAATCAATGCTGATGGGTAAATGGCCAGAATGGGGTAGATGGTGTCACTAAGGTCCTGAAGGGGCTTGAATGAAACAAGTGGCCTCAGCCGGGCAATCTGGCAGAAGGTATGGAGGTGGCACAGGCTGATCCTGGCCTCAGAGCCAGCAGGGAGCTCAGGCAGGGCCGCCTGCCCACCTGGGGGTTGAACAGCCTTCCTCAGGTTTGCTGAGGTCCCCAGGACCAGCCCAGGTCGAGCTGGACCACACATGTGCCGTCTCTAGCCTAGAGATATCAAGCAGGTAGGTTCGTCTCCCATTTGCATCTCCTGACCTTGGCCCACAGCCCTTCCCTCCTTGGATTTATCAGAGACCAGGGTGCTGGGTAGGGTTTCAAGTGGTTAAAAAGTGAAAGTTTCTGAGTGAAGTCCAAAGGTGCACACCTGAGCACTGGGTGGGGTGACTGCTGCTGGCTGAGTGCAGGGGAGAGAATCTGGCTTTGGAATCAGATGGTCGAGTCCAAATCTCAGCTCCTTACTCCATGGCATGAAGCCCTCAGCTCTCCAAACCTCTGTTCATCCGTAAAACCTTACCAAGGGCTTCGAACGGGATATCCCCATAAAACAAGGCTGCCTGCCTTGTGTGTGAAGTGCTGAGTTTGAGGAGTGCAGTAAATATCAGATCCCTTTCTTCACCTCAGGTTTGTGCGTTAACCAGGCCCAGTGCTCTACCAGACCAAACCACTGGGTTTTTAGAGAAGGTAACTGAGGCCCAGAGAGTGGCCTCCAGGTTCCGTGTTCTGTGGCAGAGCTGGCCTTAGCTCCAAGCCCCGGGGTTCCCAGCTCAGTCTCGGCTGATGCCTCCCAGTGTCGAGATCTGTGCTGCCTGCTGCATTCCTTGTCCAGCTGCAAATGAACAACTGCATGGGCTGGGGTAAGGTTTAGGCAGGCTGGGGCAAGGAAGGAAGCAGGCCTTTCAGGGAGTCGGGCTCCCTGGTCTTCCAGCTGAGGCTGGGTCCACTCTTTCCCATCCACCCATTGTGCATAATGCCCAGGTCTTCCCGGGCTGGGCAGGCCTGAACTGAATAGGTTGAGCACTCCATGAAACTGCTTTCTAGCATCTAGACCAGGGAGGTGCCTCTTGCTTTAAATTGAGGATGTTTACCAGTTTAAGTAGTTATTACAGCCAAAGGCCAGCTTGGCTCCTTTCCTCCCTCTAGGGGTTGGGGGGTGTGTGCCTCTTTTTCCCATCCTACCCCACCCCTGCCAACTCTGTTCCAATTTGGATGGCTGTGGAGATTACAGGAACTTGAAGAGGAGAGGGGAAGGGATCTAGGTGGTTTTCAAATATTGGGCTGCAGAAGTCCTACTTCCTCCCATCTATCTTCTGCAGCCGGGCCCACTCACCTGTCCAACACAGCCTTCCACAGGTCCCAGGCCTCTGTGCCATGCCGCACCACCACCCTCCCGCCTGAAATGCCAGTCTTCATACCTCACATTCAGCCTCCCATATGCCAGCTCCCAGCCAAGGGCTTTATCTACAGGAACTCATTTGTACCTGGAGACACTTAGGAGGTTGATAGTGTTATTCTCCCAACCATGTGACTTTCCAAGTACCTATGGACCCCAACCTCTTTTTTCTACCCCTAACCTGAGATTCCTAGCCACTAACTAACAGCCATATTCGCCTGTCTAAATTCTATCTCATTGTTTATTCATTCAACAAACACTTACTGAGCACTAACTTTGAGCCAGGCACTCTAAGACCAGCTGAGTCCTGCTTCTGGCAGGATGAGTGTCACTGTCATTAACCACCCACAAACACCCATGCTGTCTGCATACTTGTGAATCTGAGTGAGGAGGCCCAATGGGGGGTGATGCCCAGGACCTATAGCTCATGTGAGCCAGGATACAAAACCAGAAACACGCCTCCCCTCACCCACTAAGCTGGAGGGTTCAAGACTGTGCCTGCCATCAGGGCTGACGGGCGACTGCTGGTGGATCAGAAACGCTTGCATTGCCACTCAACTCAAGGGCAGAGTGTGTTCCTCTTCAGATATGACTGGGTCTCATGAGCACTGCTCTGAATGGGCCAGGCATTGGTTGCTTCACTAAGAACACTGTCACTGGAGAATTGTTCCATACTCAATTCTTCCCAATCAGTCTGGCTTCTGCATGCCCAGTTACCTGGCAGTGTGGGCAACAGGTGAGCACTGAGTGTTCTGCAACCGGCCAGTGACTTACTCCATCTTTCCACTTAATGAGAGCCAGGTGGGAGTTCAGCAAAGAGCACATGTTTAAGCCTTCTTATGAAACACGTAAAAATAATACTGCCCCAAGATTATAAAGCAGACCTTGGCACATGTAAAGAGATTTGGGGTTGGTGAATGGGCCCACTAAGCTTTATTTGGTGGTGTCAGCTGTCTCAGTTTATGTGTAGACAGCAGGGCTCCCAAAGCCAGCATGCTGGAGTCTGTGAGGGAACATTTCTTTCCATTTCTTTCATTTATTTATTTATGACAGAATCTTGCTCTGTCACCCAGGCTGGAGTGCAGTGGTGCCATCTCGGCTCTCTGCAACCTCTGCCTTCTGAGTTCAAGCAATTCTCCTGCCTCAGCCTCCAGAGTAGCTGGGATTACAGGTGTGCACCACCACGCCTGGCTAATTTTTGTATTTTTAGTAGAGACGGGGTTTTACCATGTTGGCTAAGCTGGTTTTGAACGCCTGACCTCAGGTGATCAACCTGCCTTGGCCTCCCAAAGTGCTGGGATTACAGGTGTGAGCCACCATGCCTGATGGCTTCCCATTTCTATAAGCATCCAACTGGTGGGGTAGCTGGTAGACTGTGGGGAGCAGTGTGTGATTTTCCTGGTGGGCTTGAGAAGGTAACAGTATACTCCCAGTCAGGGTGAAGGTCTCTGAAGGTGAACTCTGGGTGCACAGCTGGAGGATGCAGTGGCTGTGAGCTGGGCCTTCCCATTGAGGTCTGGCCTACATATTGCCACAGCGAGCTTGCTGGCATCCGAGGGGGGTTTCTGGGTGACCACCCAGGCCTGCATGTGGGTCAGTACTACACTGGATGCAGTGGGTCTTGAGAGGACCCACCACTGTCCATCGAATTGCCCCAACCTGGGTGTGAGGCCAGAACAGCTGTGGGAAGCCACGCCAGGCCCTCTGGAGATGGCCCTCTCGCCCTTGGAGATGTCTCCGGATTGGCCAGAAAGAAGGTGGTGTCTGGAACTGGAAGGGAAGGAAGCAAGACAGTGCTGGGGCTGGCAGCCAGAGATCAAGGTGATGGGCCAGTGAAGGGGTGGGTACTGGGGAAAGCCCTGCCCTCCTGGTGTTGCCAGATCTGAAGGGTGGAGGTTAGGAACTGCATCACTTATGCTGGTGTGAGTTCCAGTGGGGCTGCTGCTTGTCCTCCCGTGAATTCTAACATCTGGTGTGGCTGTGGGGCGGTGCTGAGAGGAGGGGAGGTCCTGAGGTTGAGGAAGCTCAGGGTGCAGCTAAGGCCTGAGAACGCCAGAGCGCAGGTGTCACAGCTGACCTGGAGCCCTCCAGGAACACGTACTCTCCAGCTCCTGTCACTCAAAAGTAACAGAAAGGTTTGCTTTCCCCAGATGTGGTTTCCTCACAGAGCAGCTTCTCCAAAGGGATCTGGAGATCCCCCGACCCCAGCAGCTTTGATAGGGAAACAGAGTCCCATCCACCCAACACCAACACACTGAACCAGAGACTCTGGGCCTGGGGCTTCCCAGAAACCCACCCACTTAAACTGCCCAGGCGATTCTGGTGTTGAACATTTGAAAGCACTGCCTGAGATCCGCTGGCTCAACAGGTGTCTACCAGTTTCACCTAAGCAGAGCACGATATGAGGGCTCTGAGGACGTGCAGGGGTGGAAGGCACCTAGGTCCCTCCCTCGGCTAGCACGCCTGAGTGACCACAGAGAGCCTAGAGTAGCAGAGGAGCCACTTGCAGTGAGTGGCCACAGCAGAGCAGGGAAAGGTGCACACAAGAGCAGTCGTAAGGAAGACATGTGTTTGGGTTTCACATTCAGTGTTTAACCATCAGAACAGAGAGGGAAAGCAACCTGCCTAAGGTCACACAGCTAGCACATGGCTGGACTGGAATTCACACACAGCTCTGTCCAGCTAGGTCCACCAACTAACACAGCTGCCTCTCTGAATTCAAAGCAGGGAGAGATTGTTGGGGGTGGGGGGTGGGGAGGATGGCAGGTGCCGTAAGTGTCCAAGGGCTTGGGCTGGATCTTAAAGGAAGGGGGATTGGGATGGGCCAGGAGGATGTCAAGATTTGAGATGGAGGGAATGCCATTGGCTATGGTGGGGGGTGGAGTTGGCAGGGACTGGAAGGAGGGGTAGTGGAAGTCAGTCCCTGCCTACTGGCCTGTGCTGGACTCCTCAGAGATTCAGGAATCTAGCCCTGCCCACAGGAGCTTTCACTCTAGCAGGAGACAGGACACCAGGGAGCCACAGCAGTCAGAGAATAATGAGGCTCTGTTCTAGTGTTTGGTGATGATATAGGAAACCTGCCCAGAACCTGTTTACCAGATGCTCAGGGATACTTAGATGTGCCCTATTCCAGAAACATTAGGTTCCAAACAAGTTGAAATACAGAATACGTTTGTCCCTAAGAACGGACTTGGTGTAATTCACTTTAACAATACAAAAGCCTCCAAACCTCCAGCCTCCTTTGAGGTGCTGATGGGCTTCTGGGACCTGCTGAAAAGCCATCCCCAGCCAGAAGAAACATGCCTGTGTCTTCTTCAGCCCCCGTCCATGCTTCGCCCTAGAGACAAGTGCTGTCATCTGTTTGTGGGTCTGTCTGTCTCCCCAGTGTGAGCACTGACAAGCAAGTAAAGATGACAATGAAGCCTTTGTGGGCACCAAATGCTGAGAGCATTATTACTAAGCCAATGGCAGCCATGGTGACTGCAATAAATTTCCCCCACAGAAATTGATAAATTGCCACTTTCTGCAGCCATTGTTTGCCTTTGTATCCCGAAGAGTAAACACCTCTCTCCCTTTCTTTCTCTCTCTCACGTGTGTGCACACATTAGATGACATTTATTCATTTTATGCATCCTGGGTTCTACTGGTCGTCCCACCTCAGTTCCTGTAGTAAAGAGACTTGAGTCTGAGCCACTAATTATCACCAGTGAGGTTTCCTCCCCGAGCAGGAAACAGCAGGCCAGAGCTGCGCTCTCTCAGTGCACTCTCCAACCAAGCATCAGTCACCACTCCCAGGCCAGTCCCTGTGGCCAAGAGCTGGCGTGCAGGCTGGGGGGAGGCAGCTGGCTGTGCAAGCCCCGGCAGGCTCCTCACCTTTTGAGAAACCAAAAATCGGAACCAAAGCCAGGCTGTCCCGGTTGTCCAGGTTGGAGACTGAGCCAGAAGAGGTACTCGCCTCACAGTGAGGCTGTCCAGTTACCTGAGAGCCTCAGAACCTCCTGTCAGCCAGATGTCATACCAGCCTGCTGTTGGTAAGTCTTTCTCTAGGACGCAGATCCAAGGTGGCAGGGGTCCTGTTCAAGCCCCTCCCACCAGCTCCCCAATCCCATGACCCCTGGCCTGCTGGAGGGTGCCCCTCGAATCTCCATGAGGTCCGATGAACTCACATCTCCCAGAGATCTGTATTGCCTTGGGTTGCCTTGCACATTTTTATACTGCAAAAAGTGCAATATAAAATGGGAAATATGTATCATCTGCGCATTTTCGTGGCCCACTTTTGAAGAAGGGAAGTCCAGGTTATTAAGTTAGGGGGCTTTTAAAAGTAAAGGGTTCAAGGATTTGTCACACACAGTTAGTTGCGTGTGTGTATGTGTGTGTGTGTGTGTGTGTGTGTGTTGAGAGATGCTAATGTTTCTGATGCATTTCTGTGGAATGCAGGCCTAATGGGAATTGTCAATTTTTCTTATGTAACCATTTCTGCATTGGTTTATCACGGAACTGCTGCTGCAAGTAATTGAACCGGATTTTTCTAGAATGATTTGAAAATCTAGATGTTTGTAAAAAGCTCTCTAAATTATTCATCCACTTTTATTTTGCAAAGTGGTGTGATGATAAACTGTTTTCCATCAGACTAAACTTGCGCGCATGTGTATTTCTGTGGGGACTGGCTTGAGTGTGATTGAGCTTTCTGTATTTTCTTTTGTAGGAACTTCTCAGCCTTCCTTTTAAAAATACAATAATTTTTGTATAAGGATTCCAGGAAGTATTACAAGAAATATAACAGTAAAATATTGGTAAGAGTCCATCAGAAAGGGAAAATGGCCACAGAGAAAATAGAAATATACCAATTAGATGTGTGTGACTATAACCGAGCTTTTCAACCATGATTTCAGACTGCTGTCCTCTGTCCTCTCTCCCCTCAGGTCAGCTGTGGGAGGCTAGGGGTGGGATAGTAAGAGGGACCTGGGATCAGTTGGGGCCTCCTGGACCCCTAAGCCTGAAAGCCCAGTGAGAATGAAGCCTGGGGGTTCTGGGGTAGGGGCCAGCTCAGAATTTGCAGAAACAGCCTGAGAATGAGAGGCTGGAAAGTGTGAGTTGGGGCAGCTCAGTGAGGAGACAGAAAACCTACAAGGAAGGAAGCAGAAGACACCAGAGCCTTGTCCCAGCCAGGTGACCGGCTATTACTCATGTCCTGAGCAACGAGCTACAGGCCCTTGCCACCCCAGACACAGTTCAAATGCAGGGACTGGACGCGACCAGGGCACAGTAGATCTGGGGCAGGCAAGAGCCAACTCGGGGCCCGGAAGAGGTCCTTTAATCTCTCTGGACCTTAGTTTTCTCTTCTGCAAAGTAGAAGTAATGATAGCCTTCTGCAGGTCAAACCCTGTGCGAACATCCGCAGGCAGGATCCCTGACCTCGCCTCACCTGCACTTCGCTGCATTTGACTCCTGATTATTGCAGCTGTGCCCATGCCAGGCACTTGCTAGGTGCTGGAATATGCTTGCCCAGCCCCTCTCTGTTGGGGAAGATGGAATTCATGCTGTAGGGAAGGCCTGGAGTTTCTACATGAGGCAGTCACGGGGTGGGGGACTTCCTGAAAACTTATTTGCATAACATGTGCCCTGCTTTTAACTTATATTGTAAATTTCAGACCCATAAAATGGGAAGGACCTTGTAGAAGCTGTTATTCACTTTACCTGCCTGGGAAATGTAGACTGTTCCTATCTAAGGGTGTTAGTTTTAATATTAATATTAGCAGGGGGAGGGGTGATGGAGATGATGGGGAGTAGGGCCCCCCACCACCTACCCCCAGGACCTCTAAGGGAAAGTACACACTGTATGCTAGTTGCATCCTGTTACGTGTGCTGCAGAGCCAAGGGGCCAGAGGTGGGAAAATTAATTCTACCTTGTAGAGGCACTGGGCCTTCCTGTTGAATTTCACTAGTTTCAGGGAAGGTACTTTTCAGGCACAAAGATTAAGCCTACAACCTAAGCAGAAAGAAAGCAAGAGCTCTAGGTAGGGAGTGGCCAGAGGCATAGACCAGGCAGACCCAGGTTTGGAAGGGCCAAGCAGACGGCACATCTGCCAATGGTAGCAGCTGGGCCTTACATACTCTGACACCCCCACCTAATGGAGACTGGGCAGACCCCTCCAAATGGTTGGTTTGCCCTGACCCCGAAGCCTCCTTCCATGAGTACCTCCATACCAGGCTGCACCTCAGTGCACCTTTAATCTGATGCTTGAGCTTCACTTTGACCAGTAGCAGTCTCTTTCTTAATATTTATTTCCAGTGTTTAAAGTCATCTGTGCATCAGTCCTCAGTGTTACTAAGTTTATCAAATAGTGAAATGCTTGGCCAGGTCTAACAATGTCACCAAGCTGCAGAAGGGATTAGAAATTCATAGTATTATTATGTCATCACTACTGGGCACAGAAGAGCCCCAGCTAGGTTCTAGGGAGAACAGCTATTACTCACAAATACTCCCCTCCCAACTCACAAATAATCTCCTCATTCAAACCACAAAAATTTATTGAGCACTTACTGTGTGCCAGGCCCTGGTAGGTGCCAGAGGCACAGAAATGAGTTTTCTATTGGCCCCCATCCAATGAGGTGACACACAAGAGAACCAGTGTATGCAGCCAATGGTAATGTGACAAAAAGTGCAAAGTGAGTCCCAGAGTGTGAAGTCCTCCCTGTCCTAGACCCAGGTAGAAGCCAGGAGCTGCTCCCCAGGCTGCCTGGACCAGCCCTTTGAGCTCTTGGACTCTTGCCAACATCCATCAAAGCTGTTGTGAAAATCAGAGCTCTTGCAAAAGTTGGAGCTGGCCCATGGTGGATGGTTGGGAAGTGGCTGCATGACTCTCCCCATGCAGAGCAGTTAGAGGGTGGAGACCAACTTCCAGTATCTCTGGAAATCCAAAGAAAGAGGTCACTGAGGGGCAGGGGAGGGTTTCCCGGAGGCTTCCAGGAAAAGGCAGTGCAGCAGCTGAACAAACCAGGAGAAAGTGTACATCTCCAAGCCCAAGAATCAGGCGATGTGAGGTAGGCTGGGCTCTGTGGCAGACACCCTGAGCTGCCTCCATGTGTCTTGACTAACTCTGCCCTTTCCTTACCCCCATAGCTCCCCCTGCCCAGGAGCAGTGCTGAGGCTCATCCCTGATTCAGCAAATCCTATGCCATAACAAGGGGAGTAATGGGGGCAGCCACAGCCCACAAGACCCACCAGTCCCAGGATTTGCAGCTCCAGGTCTCCCTGGAAAGCAAGAAACCATCCAGCTCCAGACGCTGAGACTGCAGATTCAGCTGCCGGATGGCCTCCAACCTGGCTGGATTAATAGGCCCATAGGGAGCTGGCTGCCCCCGCAAGCCCTGGGCAAAGTGAAGCCCTCCTCCAACTCCACAGCGCCTGGTCATGACCTCATTCCAGCACTTTGTTCCTTCCTGCATTGTGTAGCTGGCCTTTCTCCTAAGAGCCTCAAGAAGGCAGGTCATCTTTGGCCACCTGCATGACCCCGGCACCTTGCTCGATGCTGGGTACACAGCAGGTACTCTGGGAAAAATGAACAAGAGAATTTCTCAGAGGAGGTTTGGCAGGACAGACCATTGCATAAAATTGCACAGGGTGTGTACTGCACACCTCCAGAGGGCACTTTCCACAGGGATTACTATGTAAATGGCACCCCCTGAAGTTGTGCAGCATGGGGACCCTAGGGCTTAAGCATGCCCCATTACCCTCCACCGCTGCTTCAAGCCCCTGGTCTTGGTGCTGACTGCTGGGCTTTCCTCTTCCCCGTCCCAACTAGCGCTGACCACCCTCTTTCCCATACCCTGGCAGTGGGTCGTAATGAACTGTCCCAGTGAGCAGTTCTCTCAGGCTGAGCTGTCAAAGCATGGTAGTGAGAGATTCCTAGATGGCAGGCAGGCCATCTGGATTCTTGGTCGGCAGGAAACTCTGTCCTCTGAGAATGTCCTCCCAGTCAGGGTGTTAGGGGGCTCCTGGATCCCCAAGATTTTTATGATTCCCTAGAACTGCTCTTCTCCCTGCAGTGGGCCTAATGACCCACTTGTAGCTGGGAAGTGGTCCCCATGGGGTTTGTTTCATTGGCTCAGTGAACAAATGCCACAATGACTCTGACTGCCTTCTCACCTGAAAGACCCAGCTCTGGGCGGCCAAAGGGTGTGCAGGGACAGGGCATATACATGTGACCCTCAAGACCTAGAGGAGTGCAGAGAGAAAGCATGGATATGCAAGCCCCCATTAGCAGGGTGGGCTTTCTGGAGGAAGTGGGCTGGGAGCTGGGCCAACTGTAAAGACCCAGTCAAAAAAGTCAAAACTCAGTTGCTCTTGCATGCAAACGATTGGTTAGTTCATTTGCCGCCTTCATAGCATTTTCCTGAGCACCTACTGCAGTGGTTTTCAAAGTGTGGTCCCCACACCAGCAGCACTGGAAATTATGGATGTAAATCCCAGCAAAATGTTTTCATAGGTCCTCCAGGTGACCCTGATGCAGCTCAAATTTGATCTGATGTGTCCTAAGTGCTGGGGTTTGCAATAGTGATTTTTACTCAATTCTCACCCTGAGGAGCTTGGAGTTGGAGAGAAGATAGACAGGAGAGAAAAAACTGCTGTCAAGTGAGATGGATTGCTCTGGAAGGCCATGGAGGCAGAGGGGAAGCTGCTGTGGACTTGATCCTTGCAAGGGAAAGTGGCCCAGGGACCCCAATGGCATGAGGACTATCCCTGGCAGGGAGCCAGATGTTGGGACCAGCATCCCTAGAGGGCTAAAGGAGCCCAGTGCCCCAGTTCCCAAGCCCTGAGCAGTGGCCCTGAGCAGCAGGCCCTCCTACTCTTCCCTCTACCCCAGATTTCCTGCTTTGCTCTTCCCCATTCTTCTTCCCATTCCCGAGTCCCAAAGAGTAGCAGGTCTTTTCCTCCAGTTGTCTTGGGGAGAAATGGGCGTGTGCCTCCAGGCCATTATCTTGGAGCACATTTTTAGAAAATTTTAAAGTGAATTTTTCCATTAGGCAG